AGGAGTTGTCCCTGATCCATCCCCTGCTTGTTTTGTGCAGAGCTCCCTGGAACACCTCATGCAGATTCTGGACAGGACCACGCCCCACTACATCCGCTGCATCAAGCCCAACGCTGACTGCAAGGCAATGACTTTTAAAAGAGAGGAGGTAACTTTGCCAAAGCCTTTGCTCCCTGAGAAGCCTCCTGGAGACACTGCAGAGCTCCTTTCACAGCACACTTTGAAATAGCTGTGAGGCTGCAGAGACAAACATCCCTTCAGATGGTGCTGGTCCAGGACAGAGCCTGTGTGAGCTCAGCAGCTCTTCCAGGTGCAACTCCTGTGTTGCTGTAGGAGTTCTCTTCCCAGAGCACTCCTGTTTTTTTTGGGGTGCTGCCCTCCCAGCCCTCAAACAGGTGAGGGTGTTCTGAGTGCTCTGCTGCCCTGGGCACACAGGGATCTTCCAAACCAAACTTTGCTTGCTCCTGGAGCGCAGGACAAGCTGGGTTAGGTCAGCTGAGGACTTTGGGAGCAGAGCTGTAACTGGAGACCATCATCTGATGGGCAAACAAGCAGCTGCCCTGACTTTAATCTCTGATAGAATTTGCTGAGTGCACAATAGTGTTAAAATAATAAAGTAGCATTCAAATACCCCCACTGGCTTTTCACCTGCTGCTGCACTCGGCCAGTCAGGGGGTGGAAACCACAAGAAAGGGGCAGCTCCCACAGACAGTGTCACCTAAACCATCCCAATTTATGCCTCAGGTTCTCAGCCAGCTTCAGGCATGTGGAATAGTCGAAGCCATCACCATCAGTGCAGCAGGATTCCCTGTCAGGTGAGCCCAAACTCCTTGAGCATAACCCACTTCTGCAGCAATTAGAGGCACATTAGTTAATTCAGAAAAGCTCGTAAGCAGGAAACCCAAATATTTTGCACTTTGTTTTAGGCCTCGAAACTGCTGATGCTTTCCAAGCTGTCTGAGAGCTCACTGTCCCTTTCCAGTCTCAGAAGCTGGGGAAGAGATGTTTTGATGGGGACTGTTATGCACTCAAACCTTTCAAACTGAACGTGGCTTCACAGTAACGTTTTTAGCAGTTAAATCATAAATGGCATTTTTACCTAAGTGTGGTCATCTCAGAGCTGAGCATCTCATCACAGCCTTGCTGGGCTTTCTCCAGCAGCTTTAGAGGGTGCAGAGCAAGGCCTGAGATAGTCACTGATGGGGTGAAGCTCATCATTGTCATATCCAAGCACAATTCCTGCCCAGTCTTTGCCACAGGCACTACTGGAAGTTTGTACCTTCTTGCCTGTTGGGGACTCTTTAGGCAGCAGTCTGTGAAGCCATTCTGCAGTTTTCACCCCCAAAGGATAAGTTCTTTGCCACAGGAGTGACTCCTTCCTGCAATTCCCTGTGTGTTTGTCTGCCAGGATCCCTTTCCAGCGTTTCACTGAGCGCTACGAAATCCTGAGACAGTCCTGTGGGCCCAGTAAAACCAGAGTGTGTGATAAAAGCAACTCTCACACTGCTGAGGGAAAAGGTATGTTTGTGCAGGTAATCCCCTCTGCCATCAAGTAAAATTATCACTGCACCCATTTGGTATTGCACAGATCTGGTGATTACTGTATTCAGAGGGACACCCCTGTTCTCAGAATACTTCCATTATCTGTCACCAGCTGGAGTTCCTCATTTCCCTAATGCTTCCAGCAGGCTCTTTTTAAAATCTTTCCTCTTACTGCTGGTTTTCTGTGTTCCTCTTGGCTGGAACAATTCCAGGTACAATGGTGTCTGGGGTCCCCCCCACCCAATATCATTTGATTTGGAGTTGGTTCTTTAGTAAGATTGAAAGCCTCTTACCTTTTGGCTCATGTTCCTTCTCTCCTTCCTTTCTTTTTTTCCCCCCCCCCTTTGCTTCCTTGCTGAATCACTGACCCTCCAGCTTACCTGGATTCTGCTGCTTCTTCCACCTTTTGCAAACTTCTCTTTTTCTAAGCAAGAGCGAGGATGGACTTTAAAAACCACAACCCCAAACCCACAACCCCGTCTACAAGGTAATGCCTTTGCTATCAACCCCTAAAAGGAGGAGCTCACCA